TTATTTTATTTCATTTTTTTTTTCAAATAGATGTGGACCAGGAACATTTACTTTAGAAATGGCTTGCGATTATCCAAATTCACATTTTATAGGAATTGATATAAATCCAATGTTTCCAAAAGAAATTAAACCAAGAAATGTTGATTTTGAAGAAGCTGATGTTTTAGAGGATTTACCTTTTGCTGATGAAACATTCGATTTTATAGTACTAAGAAATATGATAACTGCCTTAACCGTACATGACTGGGAACTTAAAATATGGAGTGAATTGATTAGAGTTCTTAAACCTGGTGGCTATATTGAGGTTTGTTTTAAATAATTCAACTTTAAAATATCCTTTAATAATGAAATAACCTTTCAAAAAATGACCTTTAATTAAATCTATTTATGAATTGTAGAGTACGGAATTTGAGATTCCTGCAATAAACAGAGGTCCAGTAACTTATAGAATGAGTGAAGCATGTAAGTTATCAATTATCATTTATATGTTTAAATAAATTAAATCATACTATATTACGTAGTAATTAATTATTAATATTAATATATATATTTTTTTAAATAATTAGGGATCGCAATAATGAAAACAAAAAATATTGATTTATCAATAACAACACGTTTAGAAGAAATATATAAATCCACAATATTAAAAAATATTGAGCATAAATCAAAAATGATTCCAGTTGGATCTTGGGGTGATCGTATTGGTAAAATTATGGCAGATGATTTTGTAATGTTAGCTAAAGCAATGTGTCCAGTTTTAAGACCGATTTGGGGTATAACTCATGAACAATATAATGATTGTACCGAAAGATTTGTAAAGGAATTAGATGAATACAAAACTTATTGTAATATTCATGTGGTTTTTGGTCAAAAACCTTATTTAAGTTAACGTGTCATTTACTGTACAGATGTTTTACCTTACACATTTTCCTCATGAATTATATGTTTGAATCATGTTGAATCATATTCAATCATGTTTATATTATATGTTTGAATCATGTTGAATCATATTCAATCATATGTTGAATCACGTTTGAGCCATGTTGAATCATGGTTCGAATTATTTGAAATAACAGAACTACATGTTTATTATAAATTAAACTTTTGTTTACAATTTTAAATTTGTGTAAGAATAAACATGTTTCGATTTAAAAAAAAAAAAAAAAAAACCAAAAAAAAAAGTTATAAAGTATAATGTTATATAGTGTTAATATAAAAAAAGCTATTTTTCTGTTTTTTACTGTAGGCTAGTATAAATATCATAAACATTACAAATGTTTTTATAAAATCCTATAAAGATTCTTAATTTACTTTCAATTTATTATCAATTATTCTGTAGCTTTTTAACTATATTACTTAACGAGGCCTAATGTTATTTAATCAAAATCTTCCTTGGATAACCATCTATTAAAGAAATCTAAACTTGGACGTGGTTGGTCATAAGGTACCATATGACCTGCTTCAAAAATTCTCAGGAATGTAAATCCTCCAAAAGTTCTAGCTTCTCCAGCATGTTCGCCTGTATCTTTAGTTATCCAACGAGTAACTTTGGCATCATTAAAGTCTTTCTTACCAGTCCATTCAAGTTCTTTTACCCATGCTTCGTTACCTGGATAAATTGTTATAAAAACATAATTTTAGAATAATTATATAAAATATCAATTTACTATCAATTTACTATCAATTTACTATAATTTTAAGATTAAATACTTACCAAACCAATTACAAATGAAATCAGCATCACCTATTAAAAAAATAATTTTAATAT